CTGAGATACACAAATATTTGTTGGACAGAATGTAATGGAAAGACACAATTACAGAGGCAGCACTGAGAACTGGAAAAGCTGCACGCCAGGCAGCAGGCACAGTCTTTAGTTTGGGAAGAAGCCACAGTGTAATGCTTAAAATGCCACACTTTAGAGACAGACTGTTTGAGTTCAAATCCTGGCTGTCACTCACCAACTATGTGACCTTGGGCAAGCTGTCTAAACAACTGGGCCTATTAAGTGAGTACAGTGATGTCAATCTCACAGGGATGTTAGAAGGGTTAAGTGAGATAAATGTGAAGTGATCAGCCTAAAAATGAACAAAGTGGAAGGGCTCTATGAAAGGGAGTTATTGTTACGATTACTAAAAATTATGTACCCCCTCACCCTAGTGCAGGCCAAAAAGGAGACCAGTTTTGTCCAGAGTAGGAAAATTAATAAGAGAGAAACTTGTTGTCATGATCTATTAACAAAGATCTCATTATATAAACTCTCTTAACTACACCATGTGATGGCAAAAGAGACCAAAACTGTTGGTAAAATAAAATATAGTTTATTCTGCTTCTCAACACCTCTGAGAAGTCCTAACCACAGGCAAATACAGAAAGACCAACATTGGGAGAAATCCAAATGAAATCAATTAAAATGGGAAAATTCTATGGTACAATGCTGTTTTATATTTCCAAAAAGTAAATCTGCCTTACAAGCTAAAGTGGAAAGCAGTTAACAAAAACTTGATGACAACGGGTAATCCATCATATATTTTGATCCATATGAATTAAAGTTCAAAGCTTCTTGATGTCTTTTTGTAACAATTTTAGAATATACAACTAAAATAAATGAAAACTATGCTGGGAGAGATTGAAGGCAGGAGGAGAAGGGGATAACAGAGGATGAGAAGGTTGGATGACATTACCAACTCAATGGACATGAGTCTGAGCAAGCTCCGGGAATTGGTGATAGACAGGGTAGCCTGGCGTGCTGCAGTCCCTGGGGTTGCAAAGAATTGGACATGACTGAGTGACTGAACTGAATGGATTATTAGGAAAAAACCTTAGAAAATAAAATTTTACTTTCAAAAATAGTCTCATCCTTCAAGTCTAATGGCTTTATGTTTAAAAGCTGGTCTTATAACAACGTTTTCTTATGTCAGTCTCCCAAAGCAATAGAAATAAAAACACAAATAAAACAAATGAGACCTAATCAAACTCACAAGCTTTTGCACAGCAAAGAAACCATAAGCAAAATGAAAAGACAACCTATGGAACGAGACAATATCTACAAATGTTGCAACCAACAAGGGCTTAATCTCCCAAACACACAAACAGCTGACACAGCTCAACAAAATCACAAACAACCCAACTGAAAACCGGGCAGAAGACCTTCACAGACATTTCTCAAAAAAGACATACAGATGGCCAACAGACACATGAAAAGATGCTCAATACTGTTCATTATAAATGCAAACCAAAAATACAACAAGGTATCAACTCACACAGGTGAGAATGACCATTATCAAAAAATCTACAAATAACAAATGCTGGAGGAGGTCTGGAGAAAAGGAAAGCCTCCCACACTGTTGGAGAAAATGTAAGTTGATGCAGCCACGATGGAAAACAGTATGGATTTCGCCTCAGAAAACTAAAAAGATAATTACCATATCATCCAAAAATCCCACTTCCTGGGCATATACCCAGATAAAACTATAATTCAAAAGATACATGACCGCTATGTTCACAGCAATAGCCCAGACACAGAAACCCCCAAAATACCCATTTACAGATCAATGGATAAAGAAGGTGTGGTGCATATATACAATGGACTACCATCCAGTCATAGCAAAGAATGAAATGATGCCATTTCAGCAACATGGACAGACCTAGTGATTATCATACTAAGCGACATCAACCAGACAAAGATAAACACCATATGATATCACTTACATGTGGAACCTAAAATACGACACAAATGAATCTATCTGGGAAACAGAAACGGAGGCATGGATGTGAGAGAACAGACTTGTGGATGCCACAGGGAGGGGGATGAGGGAGGGCTGGGGTTAGCAGGTGTATGCTTATATACAGAATGGGTAAACAACAAGGTCCTACAGTATAGCACAGGCAACTATATCCAGTCTCCTGGGATCAACCATAATGAAAAGAATATCTAAAAAAAGAAGGTGAGTGTGTGTACAACTGAGTCACACTGGTGTAGAGCAGAGACTGGCACAACATTGTGAATCAACTATACTTCAATTAAAATTTAAAAAAGCCAGTCTTTGTGAGTCACAGAAAGCAGGTGCCAATCCCTGAACACAAGCTGAAACTACAGGGGAAACTTTAAAGGCTACTACAGCCCTGAGTGTGAACCCTCATCCAATCATCTGTCATCACTGACTCCTCTTCATTTCATCTGCGTGAAAGAGGAGAAAAGGCAGAGAAGACTAGGCATGCCTACTCTGTTCAACAGCGTGCAGCCGAGTGCCAAGAACAAAACACAAATATTCATAAGTGCGCAGAACATTAAAATCCAAATAAGAGAGAAAACTCATCTCCTAACAGAAAAATAGCATCTATTTGGCGGGAACGTATAACAAATACACCATACATTATAGCATAATCCAGCGTTTACATAAGCAGGCTCTGAGACAAGATGCCTGGTTTTGAAATCTGACTGGGTGACTGGAGCAAGTTACTTTACCTCTCTGTGCCTCATTTCCTCACCTCTAAAATGTGGAAACAGTATTTTCTGCGTAAGGTTGTTGTGACGGTTACTTAAGACACAGAGTGCTTATAAAAATGTCACACGCATAAAATGTACACAATAAATGTCAGCTGTCATTTATCATCTAAAGGCAATAGAAACAAGTGCCTTAATTGAATTCTTTTTTCTTTTTTTTTCTGCACAGCATGTGGATCTTAGGGCTTTCTGGGTGGCTTAGCAGTAAAGAATCCGCCTGCCAATGCCAGAGAAATGGGTTCAATCCCTGTGCTGGGAAGATCCCCTGGAGAAGGAAATGGCAACCCACTCCAGTATTCTTGCCTGGAAAATCCCAAGGATAGAGGGGCATGGTGGGCTACAGCGCATGGGGCCAAAACTAAGCAACTAAACAACTTAGTTCCTCGACCAGAGATCAAACCCACACTTCCTGCACTGGAAACCAAGGAGTCTTAACCACTAGACTGCCAGGGAAGTCCTTGAAGAAAAATTCACGTGCAAAGTCATAAATATCAAATGCTAAAGCTGTATGTTTAGATTCAAGCGTTTAAGGAAGGGTAATGTTAATATCTGGAATACATTTGGGGGATTACAGAAGCAGCCTCCTTATCCTCCCTCTGCACTAACCACTCACTCCCCTTTTACCCTGGAGCCTAGGCATCAGGTTACCACTCACTTAAATTCCTCCCACGAATTAAATTCTTAATGCTTAAAGACAAAACCCAAAGCATTTCTAAGTTTAGCAAAGCAACCAGTAGTACACAAGTACAGTAAGATGCTTTTAGAGTACATAAAACTCTAAAATTTACAACAGTGAGTCAACGTGGACTGCAGATCAGGATGGAACAGGTGGACGAAAGAGAAGGAAAATGGACAACAGGAGGAATATGAGCCTTCAGAGAGAAAGCTGTGAAACTGTAACTCCTGAATGTTCTTTCCCCTTGCTAGAATTGTAAGAGCTTTTCTCACAGATTACGTGTAAAAAGTAAGACGCTGCAACACTTACTACAATTAGATTTTTATAAATTCATTTCCTGAAACTCTGCTGGCTCCATTAATTTTGACTTAAAGCAACTCAGAATTTAAAAGAAACATGCAGGGACTAAAGGCACTGCTGTTATTTGTGGGTGATGGGGTATTTTTTTCCTGCTATCAACAGGTCACACAGCTGGCGGCTGTTTTTCCAGGGTCAATGAGATACTTATCATCCACTTCTCTCAGTAGCTTAGTTACTAAGACAAGCCAGAACCAGCCAAGATGCCAAAGGGCAGCGTCTCTCTCCAGAAGGCTTACCGGCACTTGGGGAGCACTGGTCACTCTCAATTTACTAGCTAATTTACTAACCTCTGCAGGTAAGCAGCAAATCTAGGTAACAGTACTAACAGTTACAAAAACTGTTTCTCAGCACTAAGCGTTTTCGTATCACCCACCCCCACCCTCTCGCAAATATTCTACACCAAAGGTGTGTCCCCAAGCAGAAAATCCAGCTCTGCTCTTCTTTCACACCCTTTGGAGGCTTCTGGAGAAGTCACACCTTCGATTGGCAATTCCCTAAATCCTGTCTATTCAAGCCAATACCGGAGCCTAGTTCTTCGGGTTAGGTCTTAAAAAACGAGCTTAATGGGGACCAGGTGGGATGCCCACTCAGTCTCAATTTTATTGAATAAAGGTAAAGATTTAAAGGGTTTACCACGCACTAATTAGGAATTAAACCCCTGAGTGAGGGTGCCGCACTCAGGAAAAAACGCCACCTTAATGCCCCATTTTTAAAAAGGAGTGAGCAATCTCCAAAATTACAAATTCGAATTTCCACATGCTATAAAAACCTGTCAGAATGATGAATTTCAGAAATACCTATTTGTACATAACTGCATAGAAAAGAGACAGGAAGCACGTAGACTGCAACAGTGTTAATGTGACTATACATCTAGATGATATTCATAATATCCTTTTTTCCCCCTAACCACACCCTCTCTGAGTGGCTTATCAGGCTCGCGAAACAGCATTACGCTGTCCGGCGGCCGGCCGGGTCTGGGTCCCCGCAGTGACCCGGGCACTCTCGGCAGAACACCGCCCCCGGGCCGCGGGCGGGCGTCCCGCCTGCCCCAGGGTTCCCCCTCCCGCGGGCCCGCCCAGCCCTGCCCTGCCCGGCAGCCCCGCAGGCCGCGGCCCGGCCTTTCGGCGACCCCGGCGCCGCCCGCCCAGACCAGCGGACGGCCGCGCGGAGACACAGCTCGGGCGGGGAAGGGCCTGGTCGCCGGGCAGCGAGGGCCCCAACTCACCATGGCCGAAGAGCCGCGAGCGCGCCCACAGCCCGGAGTCACAAGGCGCCGGCAACGCCCGTTGTCCTGGTGACGACAGCTGGGCGCCCCGCCCCGTCCCCTAGGTGGGCTCGGAGGCGGCCATTGGCTGGCGGTGAGCTCGTGACGACGAGGGGCGGGGCGTCTGGACCGCCCCTCCGTGCCCGCACGCCTCGGTCTTGGGCGGGGGCCTGATTGCCTTTGCTCCTTTGCCTATCGTACCTCAACAGCGTGATCACCTTGATATCCCTCCTCTTACAGATAAACCAGCCTCAGACTGCTGGGAAAGACTTTTATGAATTTATCCTATTTAAGTAACACATTAACACAGGTAACACATTATTACTGGAGACACTTTAAACAATAACGAATTAAGAAGAATAAGACCACGCCAAATCCCAACACCTGGGGTAACCACTAATTTTTCTAGTCTATCTGCTTCGAAGCTTATCTGCATTCCAACAAAATGTATATTATTATAATACGCTGTATTCTTGGAAATGGAAGCAAGCCCCGTGCACTTTTATAATCTATACTTTTTTCAATTAAAAATTATCATTGCATGCTAATTTATGTCATAACATTTGTGGTACATTAATTTACTAAATCATTCTGCAACTTGTTGGATGCTTTTAATATGGTTGAAGGGAACTTTACTAGCCCATTAAGTCTATGACGAGACATACATTACAGCTGGTTTGACATCTCCCCTTGAATGTCTAATAGACATCCTACGCTTAATACAGTCCCAGTAAGACTTTTGATCCAAGTTTCTTACTTTCCCTAAACAAATGGACAACTATAGTCATCAACAATCAAAACCCAAAAGCCCTGTGAAGGAGAAGACAATCTGTTGAGATGGGAAGTAGATAACTAGTTGTTTACAGCTGGGGGAGGAGGGGTGGAAGTAAGAGATAATAGCTGAAGGATACCAGATTTCTTTTTGTACCATTATATCTACTACTGTGGGCAAGAATCACTTAGAAGAAATGGAGTGGCCATCATAGCGAAAGAATCCAAAAAGCAGTACTTGGATGTATTCTCAAAAACAAAGGATGATTTCTGTTTATTTCCAAGGCAAACCATTCACTATCACAGTAATCCAAGTCTTTACCCCAACTAGTAATGCTGAAGAAGCTGAAGTTGAACAGTTCTATGCAGACCTACAAGACCTCCTGGAACTAACACCTAAAAAAGATGTCCTTTTCAGTATAGGGGACTGGAATGCAAAAGTAGGAAGTCAAGAAATACCTGGAGTAACAGGCAATTTGGCTTTGGAGTACAGAATGAAGCAGGGCAAATGCTAATAGGGTTTTGCCAAGAGAATGCACAGGTCATAGCAAACACCCTCTTCCAACAACACAAGAGAAGACTCTACACATGGACATCACCAGATGGTCAATACAGAAATCAGATTTATTATATTCTTTGCAACCAAAGATGGAGAAGCTCTATACAGTCAGCAAAAACAAGACTGGGAGTTGACTGTGGCTCAGAACATGAACTCCTTATTGTCAAATTCAGACTGAAATTGAAGAAAGCAGGGAAAACCATTAAATCATTCAGGTATGACCTAAATCAAATCCCTTATGACTATACAGTGGAAGTGAGAAATAGATTCAAGGGATTAGATCTGATAGACAGAGTGCTTGAAGAACTATGGATGGAGGTTTGTAACATTGTACAGGAGGCAGGGATCAAGACCATCCCCAAGAAAAATAAATGCAAAAAGGCAAAATAGTTGTCTAAGGAGGCCTTACAAATAGCTGTGAAAGGAAGAAAAGCAACAGGCAAAGGAGAAAAGGAAAGATATCTTTATTTGAATTCAGAGTTTCAAAGAATATCAAGGAGAGATAAGAAAGCCTTCCTCAGTGATCAGTGCAAAGAAATACAGGAAAACAATAGAATGGGAAAGACTAGAGATCTCTTCAAGAAAATTAGAGATACCAAGGGAATATTTCATACAAAGATGGGCACAGTAAAGGACAGAAATGATATGGACCTAACAGAAGCAGAAGATATTAAGAACAGGTGGCAAGAATACATAGAAGAACAATACGAAAAGATCTTCACGACCCAGATAATCACGATGGTGTGATCTCTCACCTAGAGCCAGACATCCTGGAATGCGAAGTCAAGTGGGCCTTAGCAAGCATCACTATGAACAAAGCTAATGAAGGTGATGGAATTCCAATTGAACTATTTCAAATCCTAAAAGATGATGCTGTGAAAGTGCTGCACTCAATATGCCAGCAAATTTGGAAAACTCAGCAGTGGCCACAGGACTGGAAAAGGTCAGTGTTAATTCCAATCACAAAGAAAGGCAATGCCAAAGAATGCTCAAACCACCGCACAATTGCACTCATCTCACACGCTAGTAAAGTAATTCTCAAAATTCTCCAAGCCAGGTTTCATCAGTGCATGAACCGTGAACTTCCAGATGTTCAAGCTGGATTTAGAAAAGGCAGAGGAACCAGAGATCAAGTTACCAACATCTCTTGGATCATTGAAAAAGTGAGAGAGCTCCAGAAAAATATCTACTTCTGTTTTATTGACTATGCCAAAGCCTTTGACTATGTGGGTCACAACAAACTGTGGAAAATTCTTAAAGAGACGGAATACCAGACCACCTGACCTGCCTCTTGAGAAATCTGTATGCAGGTCAGGAAGCAACAGTTAGAACTGGACATGGAACAACAGACTGGTTCCAAATAGGAAAAAGAGTACATCAAGGCTGTATATTGTCACCCTGCTTATTTAACTTATATGCAGGGTACATCAAAAAGAAACGCTGGGCTGGCTGAAGCACAAGCTGGAATCAAGATTGCAGGGAGAAATACCAATAACCTCAGATGTGCATACACCACCACCCTTATGGCAGAAAACGAAGAACTAAAGAGCCTCTTGATGAAAGTGAAAGAGGAGAGTGAAAAAGTTGACTTAAAACTCAACATTCATAAAACTAAGATCATGGCATCCGGTCCCATCACTTCATGGCAAATAGATGTGGAAACAGTGGAAACAGTTACAGACTTCATTTTTGGGGCTCCAAAATCACTGCAGATGGTGATTGCAGCCATGAAATTAAAAGACGCTTGCTCCCTGGAAGAAACACTATGACCAACCTAGACAGCATATTAAAAAGTAGGGACGTTACTATGCTGACAGAGGTCCGTCTAGTCAAAGCTATGGTTTTTCCAGTAGTCACGTATGGATGTGAGAGTTGGACTATCAAGAAAGCTGAGTGCTGAAGAACTGATGCTCTTGGAGGTCCAAGAGAGATGCTTTTCATTTTCATGAAAAGACCCTGATGCTGGAAAAGACTGAGGACAAGAGGAGAAAGGGGTGACAGAGGATGAGATGACGGGACGGCATGACTGACTCAGTGGCCATGAGTTGGAGCAAACTCAGGGAGACAGTGAAGGACAGGGAAGCATGGTTCACTACAGTTCATGGGCTGTCAAAGAGTTGGATGTGATTAGCTACTGAACAAATTGACAACTTAAAATTGGACATATTTAAGGTGTACAGTGTTATGATTTGATATGTGCATACATTGTGAAATAATGACCACAATTCAGTTCATTAACATATCCATTACCTCATGTAATTACCACTATTTTCCCTTTCTTCCTTACTTTTTTTCTTCCTCTCTTTCTTTCTCGTGGTGAGAACTCTTAAGCTCTACCTTCTAAGAAAATGTCAATACATGATACAATACTGTTAGCTATATTCACATTGTTACACATTAGATAGCCAGAACTTATTCATCTTGTGTAACTGAAATTTTGTACCCTTTGTCCAGCATCTCCCCATTTCCCTCTAGCTGCAGTCTCTGATAACCACCATTGCACTCTCTGATTCTGTGTGTGTGACTATTTCAGAATACACTTCTCAGGGAGATCATGCAGTAGTTGTCTTTCTGTGTCTGATTTCTTTCAACCAGCATAATATCCTCGAGGCGCATCCATGTTGTCACAAATGGTAAGATTTCCTTCTTTTCAAACACTGCGTACCAAAAGTCTACAAGCAATAAATGCTGGAGAGGGTGTGGAGAAAAGGGAACCCTCTTACACTGTTGGTGGGAATGCAAATTAGTACAGCCACTATGGAAAACAGTGTGGAGATTTCTTAAAAAGCTGGAAATAGAACTGCCATATGACCCAGCAATCCCACTTCTGGGCATACACACCGAGGAAACCAGATCTGAAAGAGACACGTGCACCCCAATGTTCATCGCAGCACTGTTTATAATAGCCAGGACATGGAAGCAACCTAGATGCCCATCAGCAGACGAATGGATGAGGAAGCTGTGGTACATATACACCATGGAATATTACTCAGCCATTAAAAAGAATTCATTTGAATCAGTTCTAATGAGATGGATGAAACTGGAGCCCATTATACAGAGCGAAGTAAGCCAGAAAGATAAAGACCATTACAGTATACTAACACATATATATGGAATTTAGAAAGATGGTAACGATAACCCTATATGCAAAACAGAAAAAGAGACTCCGATGTACAGAACAGACTTTTGGACTCTGGGAGAAGGCGAGGGTGGGATGTTTCAAGAGAACAGCATCGAAACACGTATATTATCTAGGGTGAAACAGATCGCCAGCCCAGGTTGGGTGCATGAGACAAGTGCTCGGGCCTGGTGCACTGGGAAGACCCAGAGGGATCGGGTGGAGAGGGAGGTGGGAGGGGGGACCGGGATGGGGAATACATGTAAATCCATGGCTAATTCATCTCAATGTATGACAAAACCCACTGCAATGATGTAAAGTAATTAGCCTCTAACTAATAAAAATAAATGAAAAAAAAAATAAATATTCCTCCCTCCAAAAAAAATAAATAAATAAAAAATAAAAAAAAATTAAAAAAAAAATACAAACACTGCGTAATAGTCCATTGATAGTATATAGATTTCCCTTCCTAAAAGTTTATATGAATGTATTCACACAATAATTGAGCTTTTGTTT